TAAAATTCTTTACAGTTACAACTTGCTGAACACTCTGTTTCATGTGGGAGTAAAAATCTCTGGGGATGGGCCAGAAATGTCTGGGATTTACTTGTAGGGGCACTGGGGACTCTCTGGATCCAGTGTGAACATGAAATTGCACTGAAATGTTTTACAACAGGCTAGTGCCATATGGAGTGGGTCTTGCTGAACCAGTTATCGAAACATAAGGATTGAGAAATGGGGCTGTGCTTGAGGTTTTTCAAGTCTCTGATGTTGCTTGACATTCATTTGGGTTTATTTGCTGACATCCTCTTCTAGATTTTGCAAAGTTAAGTTGTTGCATCATTGAGAAAGTGATTTATCCAGAGGTCTTTAATAAATTGTAATTCACTGCTGAAGTGGTCTTTGGTTTAAAAAATCAATGTGTCCCCAAAATTAAGAGTTAAAAGGAGAACTTATGCAAGAATATTTAAACCTTGTACATGTCTGTATGGTCCTTTTCCTTGCCACTGTATTCTGATCGTTAGTGGAGTCTGTCAGAAGTGCAGGTGCCTTGGGCCTATGATCTTTTTTAGTGCTCTTCTGGAGGAAGATTTTTATTTTTGTATTCTTTTCACTTATTTTGTACTAAGTGAATCAGTAATGAAGTGATCTAGATAAGGGAATTATCAGAGCCTCATGTTTTGGAGTGTTAGAGCTAGAAATCAAAAGAAGAAGAACACAAAAAGATTCTAATTTGGGGCATCACTTTAGTTGAAAGGATGATTTGGTCTGAGAGGAGTCATCCCAGTGAGAGAGAAGATAGGAAAATTGAATTAATGAATTCTTGTATTTGATTAAAAAAAGAAAGAAATGAGGGGATGAACATGTCAATTAGCTTGACTGTGGCAATCATTTTGTTATGTATATTTTAATCAAAATATCATGTTGTACACCTTAAATTTTTACAACTTTTATTAAAGATAAAACAAATAAAAAGAATGCACATAGAGGGGCACCTGGGTAGCTCAGTCCGCTTAAGTGTCTGACTCTCGATTTTAGCTCAGGTCATGATCTCACAATTCATGGTGATCGAGCCCCACATCGGGCTCTGTGCTCACAGCGTGGAGCCTGCTTGGGACTCTCTCTCTCCCTCTCTCTCTCTCTGCCCCTCTCTGCTCTCTCTCTCAAAATAAATAAACATTTTAAAAAAAGAACTCACATGGAGTAAAAGAGTGTAATCAGTAATCAGACAGCTGCTTATGATCTTTCTGGAAAACATAATTACTATTCTCTACCACCACCTCACAGATGCACTTTTCCTTAGTGTCATTTTGTTCTTGGTTGGTTGTTCTTATGAGACAACTTATTCTGCACTCTCAGTGGCCAGAATGGAATATACTGCTCATGTCTGCGAGAAGAACCAGGAGTCACTGGAAAACAGCATGTTTCCAGCAAGAGACTTTAAGATGTGCCTCAGGTAGCTTATTAGCACAAAGCAAGAGTACTGTTAGAAGTACCGGGCTGGGGGAAATATTAAAAGGATAAAGGTCAGCCTGAAGCTAGGGTTTCTAGTGACCAAGTCCCATCAAAAAGAATATAGCTACTGCAGCCATTGTTACTCTGGAAGGCTATAAATGTCTAAAGGGGCTCAAAAGGAAGGAACACATAATAAAAAGTGTGCCATGTGAAAGGTATATCCACCAAGATGAGTCAATTGGCTGATGCTCTCTACCTCACAGAGGTCAAACAGGTGGGAAGTCATTTATTTTGTAAAGAAATGCAAGGCACTGATTTATGTGATGCACTGCCTCCCTCCTGGGAGGAGGTTGGAGCAGTTCTTGTAGCCATAGTGACTGGTGCTGCAATACAGGCTGCTTGTGCTCAGTGTATCCCATAGTTCAGGACCAGGCACCCCTTCCCCCAATGCCAGGAGTGTTGGAGGCTGGCAGCTTGCTGAAGGAAGCTGCCTGGCTCAGGATCACATCCTTCTATAGCTCCCATCTATCTTCCTTGGAGACTCACACCCTTCCCTCAGTGAGGAAGCACCCTCTCATCTCCAGGGCTCCCTGTGAGATCCACTGAGGCCTTGTCTGGGACTGCATCACAATTCACCTGCCTTATCTTGCTCCTGTATCTTGCTCCCTTGCAGGTGTACAGGTGTTACTTCCAAGATCACTCCATAAAAACCATTATGCCCTCAACTCTCCATCTCAGAGTCTGCTTCCCCGAGAACCAGTCTGCATATATATAAAAATATGTTCTGCTTGAAATGTAAGAAATTCTTTAGAAAAACCAAACTGACTAGCCCTGATGGGTTGATAGAGCAAAAATATTGGCACAGGTCAGAAAATAGATGGCAGAGCTGAAGCCTAAGCCTGCCAAGGGATGCCACACCTGAGAAATTTACATTTGACTCACTCTCTGTCCTAGTAAATATTCTGAAATGTGCTAATTTATTGTGCACCAGTTACCTACACCTAGGGAGCAGGCAGATTGGTGATAAGAGCTTCTAGAACAGACAGCTGGTGTCAGGGAGGGGCTGTGGGGATCCTTGGGAGAATGGCCAAGTAGAATCTGCTTTCTCATTTCAGTCTCCCATTTCATCATCAGCTCCTACTAGATTTTACTGTTTCTATATTCTTTGCCACTTAAGAACCTGTACATCCTCAAAACCGTATCTGTGGACATCTTTTTGCCAACATAAAACCTTTCCATTGTGATGGGTGTGCCACTACTATTCTCATTTCTGACCAAAGTAGAAATTTGAGATTACCCTAGTTTCTTCCCTTTATCTTATTTTCTATACCTGCAGCTGCCAAGACTTGTTGATTCTACTTCCTAAATATCTCTATAATTCCCTTTTCTTCATTCCATCTACCTCTTCCCCAGTTTAAGCATAAATATCTCTTTCCTAAAATATTATAAGGCTTTTGAAATTGTCACTTTGCTTCTAGTCTTGAATTGGAATTTTATCTCTTACATCTACTAAATTCTCTAAAGTTCTTCATTCTCTTCTCTTCTTTCCTCTTTTTTCTCCATAGACCTTCCTTGGGAGATTTCATCTACTTCTATGGCTTTGATGTTGATATGCTCAAGATATTCTAAAGATCCCACAGTATCCACACTATCCATATGGGACTTTTCTCTGAGGGTATAGACCTTTATATCTATCTGCCAATTCTCAACTTCTCAAAAAAAAAATTGGCCCCTTTCCCCTCCAATTGGATCTTTCTTCTCTATTCCCCATTTCAATGAATTCCACAGCCTTCTTTCTGCCCAGCTGTCTAAGGCATAAACCTAGGTGTGGTCTTTGATTTGTCCATTTCCCTAATTCCCCAGGTCAAGCCAATCATCCCTGACTCCATCTTCTTTAACATCTCTCGGTCTTATCTCTTACTACCACTCCTATTATAACTACTACCCTGGTCTTACCCCAAAGTCTCATCTAGCTTTTTTGTTTGTTTGGTTTTTTGTTTGTTTGTTTATTTGTTTGTTTGTTTGTTTTTAAGCTGGATTTCTGCATCAGCCTCTTAACTGGTTTTTTGGTCTGTGCTGTCCTCCTGCAATCCCTTCTTCATTGGCCAGTGAGCATGGTCTTTCTAATCTGCAAATCTGCATTCCTCTGCCTGATTTCTTTCAATGCCTACCCATTGTTCTTATAATAAATATCTTTGGCTTATAGAAACCCATTATAGTGTGGTCTCTACTTGCCTCTCAAACAATCTTTCTCCCCACATACTCCCACTGTCACTTACAATAGTCCAGTCATTGGAATTCCTCAGTTTCTTGAATGTACAATGCTTTCTCTTACCTCTTTCACACCATGGTTTCTTTCCCTATGTTCTTTACTTAGCTGTGTTCAAGTCTCCATCATGTGGAATGATCTATGCCCATAATCATCATAGTATTTCAAAGCAATTTTTAGAAAAAAGGAATTCAGGGCATCATAAATCATTTGAACCGATTTAGAAAACATGTTAGGGAGATTCGGGCTCTTTGCAGATAACTGAATATTTTCCATGTTGTCCTGATAGCTCTGTAGACTTTTGTGGGCTAACTATCAAAAGTATCTAGCTTGGGTTCTAAATTGGGGTGTTTTTGCACTTCACGATGCATTTGGCAATGTTTGCATGCATGTTGGATTGTCAAAGTGTGTGGTTGGAGCACTGGGTGTTGTATGGAAACCAATTTGACAATAAATTTCATATTTAAAAAAAAGTGTGTGGTAGAATGCTAATTCACTGATATGAATAGAGGCCAGGGATGCTTTTAAAAATCCTACGATGCACAAGGCAGCCTCTCCCATCAAAGAATTATCCAATCCAAAATGTTAAATGGTATTAAAGTTGACAAACTTCGACTATAATGAAATTACAGTTTCATATTTCACTCAGGCACACTTTTCTATTCTAGAACAAAACATAAATAATACTCACCTTGCAATGAGAAGACCAGCATACAGTCCTATCCAAATGCCTTTGCTCTTATATTTTGATTTTTTCATTTCTTTAAAATGGTATTTTAGGAGCATCTGTGTGGCTCAGTAGGTTAAGCATCTGACTTCGGCTCAGGTCATGATCTCCCAATCTGTGAGTTCAAGCCCTGTGTGGGGCTCTGTGCTGATAGCTCAGAACCTGGACCCTGCTTCGGATTCTGTGTCTCCCTCTCTCTCTGCCCCTCCCCCACTCACACTCTGTTTCTCTCTCCTTCAAAAATAAATAAACTTAAAAAAAATTGTCTTTTAATACCTATCTCATGGGATTGTTATAAAAATTAAATACAATAATGTCTGAGAAAACCCTTAGTTCAGTATCTGGTGAATAGTAGTTAGTTGCTCAATAAAATACTTAAAAAAAAAAAAAAAACAAATCCAACACATAGGGTATGGGGTTTATGGGGTGGAGATGAATAGAATTTACCCAAATGGTTTCTGAGAGCATCACTCGTTTTAGGATCTGTACACGTATCACCACTTCTGAGAACATTTAATAGAAGAATATGCATCGACAAAGATCCAAGCACGTACACATACATACTTTTTGTTCTTCTCGTTCTACGGCTGCATTGCACTTTTCTATTCCGCAGTTCCTCAGAAAGTCTCTGAAATAGCCAAATAGGGTTCCAAGTCCATATCCCAAGTAAGTGAAAACCATAACATGAAGAGGTGCTTCCTCAAAGGATTCAACAATTGGCTTATCGTAAAAATGTGGTTTCCCATTTTGCTAAAACCAAAAGGAAATAGAAGGTTAGTTCTCTTCTATTGCAATAAAATATAATACTTAAAACTTTGGACTTTCAAACTTTTAAATTTCAAAGGACATGTTTAAGATCATAAAAAGTGCTTAGAGAAAAGTGGAAATTGATCATTAAAGAGGGTAATCAGAAAGTTACATTTTATTTTACAACCCCCTAATAAAATAATTGATTCAGGCAAAAATTCTCAACAGATGCTAAATCCATTAGGTGAAAAGTTAATGAGGAATATGGTTTTTGCAAGATGCCAAAGTATCACCCCGTAGGTTACCCCCTAATCACAAATCTGAGGTTACTACCTTGACCAGGTGATCAAATTACATCACCAATGTTGGAACAAGAGCATCTGTGCTCTTACCATAATGTAATACTCAATACTCTAATGATACATTTAACCTGAGTTTAGTCAAATGTTTATATCTAATATTAATTTCACAAGAAATATCAGGATCAGGATAAGGGAATGTGGTAAATGACTTCATGAGGAAACAATAAGATAATCCACAATGTGCACAGCAAAGGAAATTATCAACAAAATGAAAAGGCAACCGATGGAATGGGAGAAAAAAATGTGCAAACCATATATATGATAAGGGGTTAATATCCAAAATAGATAAGGAACTCATACAACTAAAAAATTCTTATAAACCATGTTTAAAAATGGGCAAAGGAGGGGTGCCCAGGTGGCTCAGTCGGTTAAGCATCCGACTCTTGATTTCAGCTCAGGTCATGATCTCGCGGTTCATGAGATCGAGGTCTGTGTGGGGCTCCGTGTGCTGATAGCGTGGAGACTGCTTAGGATTCTCTTTCTCCCTCTCTCTCTGCCATTCCCCCACTCATGCTGCTCTCTGTCTTTCCAAATAAATAAACTTAAAAGAAATGAGCAAAGGACCTGAATAGACATTTTCCCAAAGAAGATATACAAATGGCCAACAAGTATATGAAAAGGTGCTTAACATCACTAATCAGGGGGACGCAAATGAGGACTACAGTGAGACACCACCTCACACCTATTAGGGTCTGGGTACTCTCAAAAAGATAAAAGATAACAATCGTTTGTGAGGATGTGGAGAAAAGGCAACACTTGTACACTGTTGGTGGGAATGTAAATTGGTACAACCAATATGAAAACATGCAACCCATATGGAGGTTCCTCAAAAAAATTTTAAAAATAGAACTATCACATGATCCAGCAATCCCATTTCTGGGTATATATCCATAGGAAATGAAATCAGTGTCTTGAAGAGGTATCTGCACCTCCAAGTTCATTCCATCATTATTCATGAGAACCAAGACACAGAAACAATCTAAGTGTCTGTAGATAGATGAATGGACAAAGAATATAGAGTACTGTGGAATACTATTTAGCCACAGAAAGGAGGAAATCCTGCCATTTGCAACAATATAGATAAACCTGGATGACATCATGCTAAATGAAATAAGCCAGACATAGACAAATACCGCAAAATCTCATTTATATGTGGAATCTAAAAGATCTGAACTCACAGAAGCAGAGAGTAGAATGGTGGTTGCAAGGGGCAGGAAGTAGGGGAAAGGGTGAGATGTTGGCCAAAGTACACAAATCTTCGGTTACGAGGTGGATAAGTTCTGGGATCTAATGTGCAGCATGGTTACCACAGTTAATACTGTACGGTATATTTGAAATTTGATCAGTGTATCTAAAGTGTTTCACCACACACAAAAAATGGTAACTAGGTGAGGTGATGGATATATTAATTAGCTTGACTGTGGTAATAATTTCACAGTGTTTACATGTATCAAATAACATTGTATATACAGTTTTTATTTGTCAATTATACCTCAAAAAGCTGGAGAAAAGAAGAAAAAAGGGGGAAAAAGGGTCTGTGGTGGAGGGGACTTTAAGAGACACAACCCAATGCTGTGTGTGTTCTTTCATTGGATCCTATTTTCTTGTTGTTGTAAAAGCCTGGTTAAAAATACATAATTTGAACAACTGTGTAAGTCCAAATGTGGCCTGGGTATGTATCTTATTAAGGAGTTATTGTTAATTTTGTTAGGAGTGACAGTAGTGTTATAGTTATGTGGGGAAATGTTTTAAACTTTATAGTGTATGCTGAAGTATTAGGGGAATGAAATGTTATGACACCTGTAATTTCTTTCCAAATTAAATACATATGAAGCAATTTGGGGAAAATGTTAATAACTATTCAGTTAGGTAGAGGTTATATGAATGTTTGTTATTTTTTAACTGTGTGTGTGTTTGAAATTTTTTATAACAGAAAGTTATAGGAAGTATTTCTTATATTAGGTGTCAACATTCCAGTGGAAAGTCACTTTTAGTACCAAACCATTCTGATTCCTGCTTAGTTGATTTGTATATAGTAGCCTAATCAATATTGGCTCAATGGATTAGTGAGTAAATTATTCCTAAGGATAATGTTTAATTACACTTTAGTCTTTAATAAATATTTATACATTCATTCATTCTTTCATTCAACAAATATAATGCAATGCACAGATTCTGCATTTCTCAATGAGGACTGTTTTAACTACTTGGAATATATAACTTTTAGTGACTTACAGGAAATTGTCTAATGCCTACTAATATTTAATGCATTAATTTAATTTACACATATTTAAATGATGCATTATATGACATCATGTTAATTGGAAACATTCTTTTTGCTACTCTCATAATCTCTGTTGTTACTACCAGCATTGTTTGATTCCATCAACACAGTTTTCTAGAACATGTCACCTTCCTTTCCTCTATGTTGCTTGAGCTGCAATGTTATAGGATCTCTATGTGACTTAGTCACTGGAAGTTTTATCCCAAGCCACAAAATATATGACAATCAAAAAAATCTACCTGTAGGGGCCCCTGGGTAGCTCAGTTGGTTGAGCATTCGACTCTTGATTTCGGCTCAGGTTGTGGAACTGGGCCCCATGTCAGGCTCTGTGCTGAGCATGGAACCTGCTTGAGATTCTCTCTCTCTCTCTGTCTGCTCCTCTCCCCCACTCGTGTGTGCTCTCTCTCTCTCTCTCTCTCAAATAGTAATAATAATAATAATAATAATAATAATAAATGTATCTGTAGATGAACATTTCTCATCTCCACATAACTTGTTTTTAAAGCAATTTAAAAAATCTTTTTATAATGACATTGAACACTTAAATTGTTACATCAAAACTCCATGAGATATTATTCTTTGCCTCCTTATTTATCCATTATATCAGGTTACTTTTCTAGATACCCAAAACTAACATGGATGGATGTTGCTCTTGTCTCACATGTCTTCCCCAAACATTACCTGGTGGTCTCAAATAATGACAGTGAGATAGTATTGCTTAATATGAGGTCTTGAATGAGAGGTTATAATCAATGTCCTGTATTTGGGATTACAGAGTATTCAGTGGGTGCCAACTGTAAGCTGACTATATGCTATGTTCTGGGGATACAAAGATGAACAAAACAGACCAGGTCCCTGGCTCCTGATTTCTTGACCTCCTTCTCACTATGTCCTCACAGCAGTCCTGTAGGTCTGGTGGACAGCTGATATTACTACTGCAGTGCCAGTCTTTGGCTCCTTTCCCTGGCTCTATTCTGTGTTTGACCTTTGGACTGCATCTGTCTCCTGCGTTTCAAGTGACCTCCTGACTCAGTTAGGAACCATCTCCTGGTTCCTTCCACATCATTGGGGCACACAATTAGCTTCCTTTCTTCCTGGATTTGTCAGAGTCCAGAAAAAGAGACTGAGATCCTCATGAGGAGGAGTTGATAAACTTTTGTGACTTGTTCGTACAAGGTCGAGGAAGAGGAAAATGAAAAGTATCTGCAAGGAGCATTATGGTATTGTTGATAAGAAGACAGAGGGAATTAGAAGGGGGTGCTGCTTATGGGGGAAGACAATGCTGAGTTGGAGGTGGTTATGGTTCTCAGAAGTGGGACTGTTTGATGAGCAGTTATAGATGCAGGGAAAGAGAGAGGCCCTGGCTGAGACAGAGTCAACTACTATGAGGTACAATTTAAGCCATGATTGAAGGTGAATGTGATAAAGGACTAATTATAAAGAGAGAACAGTAGGTCTGAGACAAAATTGGGGACCATAGGGAAAGAAGGGTGAGTAAAAGGGGCCAAATACAGGTGACTTCCAGAAAACTGATTTAGTCTGCTCACAAATTAACCACTTTGGTTGATTTCAAAGATGGCTAAATTATGTAACCCCATGAAAAGAGATAAACTTCCAGGCCATCCTGTGAAGATCAGCAGAAGATTCTCCCTTTTTCCTTTCCTGGCCCTATATCCATTTATGAGCTCCACATGTGGCCAAATCAAGCAACACATTTCCCCTGAAATCCATGGGAACTTTCTGCTTACATTGGCTCTGACGCAAACCTGCAGTGCACACAATGGTCTACCTAGATGCAAATAACACTCTCAGTTGGGTGCACAGCCTGAGCTTGTGTAACTATTATTTTGCCCCTGTGACTTGTTCTGGAAGAAAGTTATAACATAAAGAAGAAATTTTCAACAATGCCCATCAGCTCCAACCAATATCAACTTTATTTTCTCTCATATAACTTGATTTATTTATTTTAATTTAATTTAATGTAATTTTATTTGGCAGGGAGAAAATGAGATATCTTGATGGAGAACAAAGTCACATGGAAATATATAGGTCTAAACAGATGGAAAGCAACTCATTTACTATATCCCTTTATTTAAAATTGAAGTCCATCGGGGCGCCTGGGTGGCACAGTCGGTTGAGCGTCCGACTTCAGCCAGGTCACGATCTCGCGGTCCGTGAGTTCAAGCCCCGCGTCGGGCTCTGGGCTGATGGCTCGGAGCCTGGAGCCTGTTTCCGATTCTGTGTCTCCCTCTCTCTCTCTGCCCCTCCCCCGTTCATGCTCTGTCTCTCTCTGTCCCAAAAATAAATAAACATTGAAAAAAAAATTTAAAAAAAACAATTGAAAAAAAATAAAATTG